CTTTGCGAACGAAGATGTACTGAATATGTACTATATAAGCAGTTAATAAAGGAGCATGGCTTAAAAGGCATTGCCCAGTTTGCACTTTGTACTCCATTTAGTTTCTTGATATTTTACTGTTTATGTTATGCTGGCCAGCAAGCAAGTCTGTCTGTAACCTCGTTTGGTATCGAACGGCAACCCAATTCTGACTGCACTTCTTGTACAGGAATACCAATCTCAGGCATAGCAGCGTAGAGGTAGCTCCTTACCGTGCTGTCAAAGGTAGCTTTAAAATCAATGAAAGAGTGATGTGTATCGTTTGACTTCTCACGGGTCTTTTGGCCTTAAGATTTGACGCATAGTGAATATCTGGTCAATAGTGGATTTACTTAGTCTACAACCTCACAATTTGCTGACGGTGGGCTTTGGTCTTTCTTTCGATAGAACTTTATATGCGATACTTAGAAGGCTAAACTCACGAAAATTGGTGCAATTGTTAAGCTCCGTGGCGTTCATGGTCGACTTTAAGAACGATTCGTTCATAACTATCAATAGTTATCGATATCAACTGCAATGCAGATTGTGTGTGTCATGGCTTAGAGTCGCTAACTGTAATGAGGGTATACCCAAAAATTGTATTAGCATCTTTCTTATTGGGCAGGGAGCACCACCTTTCGGTGCTCAATTTGTTTAGTTCTCTGTGTTTTTATTTATTTCCTATGGAATTGGAGACAATATTGTGTTTTCGTTATTTGAATCGTGTTGTGTTGGCTTTTGAGTTAGCTCTTGATTTGGCTGTCAATTACGAATGCTGTCGTTAATGTTAAGTCATTAACAGACAATGTTAAATGTTAAAATTGAGTTGTGCTGTTAATTACATAGCAGCAAACAGCCGTTTTAAATTAACATTTACAGTGTGTGTGCGATTTTAACATTAACTATTTCAATTCCTGTAGATATCATCGAAACAAAATAAAATCATTTCGTTAAGTTTATTTTAATATTAACAAAACGAACAAACTTTTCGTTAGTTGAGCACTTCTGGCCTAAAAGCATAATATCGTTAAAATTAATTTAATGTAAAAATTACAAAAGTTTCATTAGAAACTTCAACGTTTCATATTTATGTTTAAAAAAAAAATATTTTTAATTAATAAATAATAAATTTAATAAGTTGTTTTTTTATAAATAACATAAATATATTGACAAAGGTAATTTTTCATACATTTTTTTCTGGCAAACTCAACATATATTACATAAATTAAAAGAGACTTTAAACAAGCAGACAACAAATTTAAATTAAAACGAAATAGTAAAAGTGTTTTTTTTTTTTTTGGTAAGCAAAGCATCATAATATTTACATATGTACATAGAAAACGAACCGAAATAAAATGAAAAGTATTCAAAAACAAATATTGAACTAACAGCAAAAGTAATAAATAAGAAATTTGAAAAAAAAAATTTATTAAAAAATATATTTATATGTAGTTAAATTGAATTAAATTTAAATTTTGGAGGAGTAACTATTTACATACATATATATTACAAATTATATACATGCATAATACATACAAACAGACTCACAAGCATAGCAAAATGCAAATGTAAATGCAAAAAGATTTTTAAAAAAATTGTTTCTTAAATATTATTAACACTTTTGAATGGTGTGTTTTCGTAGTTACAAATTTTAAATTATTTATAATTTTCGCTATGAATTTTTTTCACCATTTAGCATGAAAAATATAATGAAACTATATTTATTTTTTTATTTTTAATATACATAAGTATATTATTTATTTTTTATTACTTGCTTATGTACCCTAATGAACTTCTTTTATTGGTTTGTAAAAAATTCTAAAACTACCTAACTAACGAATACTCCATAAAGCACTTCTGAGGCTAAAAGATTTTGAAAATTTCTTATTTTTTAATTAATTAATTTTTTTTATAACATTTTCTTCATTCCTGCACAAAAGACTATTTTTTTTTTTTTTTGAATATTCTATCAAGCCATATTTCAAAAATTTCTCCACCTCTACTCTGTAAATCAAACATACATTTATAAATCATTATTTTTCCTAATGTAAAATAAAAATAAATTATTGAAAAGCCAAAAACCAACGACGACTCAGAAATTTTGTCCAAAATGCAAAAGTATAAACCAACACAAATGTAATAAGGAAGAAAAAATTAAAAAAAAAACCAAAATAAATTTAATAAAATTTAAATAAATAAAAGTAATTTGTGATGCACCGCTTTAAGTTTAAAACATAAGGAACACGAAAACGAAAATGCAACAAGAAATGAGCATAAGGCACGAGCGAACATTTTTCATTTAGTTTGCAATGTATTTTTGAAGAAAAAAAGTAGAATAATTTTTTGAAATTAAATTAATAATTAATTTTGGAAATTTTTTACATTTACATACATACATAATATATTGTATGGTATTGTATTTTATTATATAACATTGTCAAGTTATTGCGTGTTAGTTATAAAAGAAAAAGTAAACATATATGTATGTATGTTTATACACATATGTATGTACATATGTATGTTTTGAATATTTTGGGGAAATGTTGAAACATTTTAAATGGATATTAAAAATTCAAGTTCTCAATGAACAATTTATGGACAAATTAAAGAAAGCAAAACAAGTTAACATTACATTGTATAAGTAGTTAGTAATTTAAAGTAAACAACAACAACAGCAACAGCAACAGCATGAGAAACACAAAATAAAATATATAACATAAGACAAGCAAAGTTAAAATCTAAGAATGCCACACAAAAAAAAAAGAAAAAATTCCATAAAAATTTTAAAACTAAAACTAAACACAAACAAATCATGTTTAATTTAATGTGCAAGCCATAAAAAATGCAATAATTATTTATGCATCTACTAATTCATTTAGCAGCAGCGAAAACAAGAATATTTTTTTTTTAATTAATGTTTGTATAAATAAATGGATGCGCCATGGGAAACTAATGAGAAAAACAAAACAAAAATTTTTGCGCTTTTTGCCAAACCATTTGAAAAGCGAAGAAAAACTAAATTAAATTAATTAAAAAAAAAACATTTCCTTTGGCGTCAAAAACTAAAGAATACATTTTGCTAAATAAAAAGGTCTACTCATTTATGGAGAAAATAATGAGAATTGTTGAAAACCCCGCAGCTGAGTATAATGAATAAATGCAAATTGTAATAAACTAACAAATAAAAGCAAGCGAATACGCTTAAAAATGGCATACATTAATGCAAAGAAACAAACAAAGAAAAAAAGAACTTTTAAAATAAATATAAAAAATTTAAAAAGAAAATATTTAACGATGTGGAAAAGTATATTTAAATAAATAATAAAAAAAAAATCATAAAAATTTAAATTGTTGTGGTAGACACTGGAGGGTCAGTAACAATGCAATAAATGTATACAGAAAAATTATTAATAGTTGAGATTTTTTATTCATAGTTTATGGTGAGGCAAATGGTAAGTCAGAATAAAGGCATTATTCATAGTCAAATAAGTGAGTTATCGGCAGGGAATGTCAAGCCCTCCCAATGTTTTTCTGATAAAAAAAAAACCATCAGCTTTTCCTCCAATTTGTCTAGATGTTTTCCATAAAATGGAAGTTCCTACAATTTCCTCTAAGCCGCCACTATTCACCTCAACAAAATTACGAAATTGTTTTACAGTTCTTTTCCATTCTTATTGACAAACAACTTATATTAATAAATATTGTTACGATTTTACTAAATCAACCTCGATTATTTTCTAGATCCTTCGGGTACGATCTCTGGATTGTTAAATAAAAACTCGCCAACTTAATTTGCAGTTTCTTTCGTTATAAAGATTCTATCTAATGTCCTTTATTTTCTCAGTAATTCACAATTCAATTATACTGCACTTTACTATTTATAATCACTAACATCAACTTTCACAATTT